AGAGCCCCACGTGTCCTGTAAATGCACACACACACACACACACACACACACACACCACCATTTGTACAGTACACTGTCTGTGAGCACAGCTTGTTAACTTCACTCCACCGAGCACCCTGTAGAGATAGCGTGAGAGGGAGAAAGGGAGAGAAAAAAACGGCAGCAGTACCAGTTGCATTTAACGACCCTCTCAGCAGACAGAGGCAGCCAGCATGGGACAGTTCCATTTCACTGGCAGCTCATTGTCATTAGAATGCCTCTCTTTCAGCATCATCCACAGCCTGGTTTGTGTTCCTCCTTTGATTCAGCTTTGCGAGCTGGTGCTATAAGCAGAAGAGCACAAAGGCTTCTAAAAGCTGCTGGAAATGTTACTACTTATCTGTCTATCAAAGATTTCTTGAAACGGAAGAGTCAAGTCAACATCACACAAACGTACATACAAATTTGTTTACATATATAAAAAATGAATACAGATTTGTGTGATGTCGACTGGACTAGTCCTTTCAAATATCTCTATGCTGAATAATAAATATTAAAATATGAAAAATTAATTAAAAACAAACTATATAATATCTATCTATCTATCTATCTATCTTGCTTACTGATTTAAATAAATAATTTAGAAATATATAGAAATAAATTTAGTTTGGGGTCAGATTATTTTTTATTTATTTATTTTTCTTCCAGCAAAACATTTATTAATTTTTACAAAAAAGTGAAAGTAAAGACATTTATGTTGCTAAAAAAATATACATTTTATGATGCTTCAATCCTGAAAAATATGCACCACAGTTTCCATTAAAAAAAAGCTGTTTTTAACACCGATGGTAATAAAAAATGGATTTCTGAAGGTGTGTGTGTTGTCAAACGATTAGTGCTGTCAAACTTTTTGTTTACATAATATATGTGTATGTGCTGTGTATATTTATTATGTATATATAAATACACATGCATGTATATATTTAAGAAAAATATGTTGTTTATACATTTAAAATATTTATATATAATATCAATTACATGAACATAAATATATACATGAAATATTTTCAATATATATACTGTATGTGTGTGTATTTATATATACATAATAAATATACACAGTATACACAC